TCGGTCTTGACACCGAGCCTAGGTGGCCGAGAGAGCGCGGGGTGCGTTAGCTCCAGCGCAAGTCGGATATATCTATAAATTAGCGTATGCTCAAGTCACTGTCTCAACGTTCACTCGGTTGTGTGGCGCACGGTCGACATTGTTGGCAAGGATGGTAAAATTGTCGGTGAACTTAATAGAAAATATTTGATTCTAAATTGCATATGTGTAACGGGATCCTACGCCTAACCATTAAAACGGGTCTTGAGACTACCCACTACAAACGCGGAGGTTAAGCGGAAGTTTTTGTGAAAGGATATACTCATAGCGGCTGAACCTATTACTCTTGACCTTTTTAGGGCTGTTTTTTGACAACGCCCTACCGGGCGGAAATACAAGCGATTCGATCCAGAATTATTAATTACGAGTTACTATCCATCCCAAAAAATTAGAAGAGCAGAATGGGGAAGGCTCTAGACATCTGAACTACGAGGACCCACTGGAAGCCGGGAGTTTAATCACATTTGGATTTAGTTACCCACCCAGCCTACTACAACATATGAAATCCACCAGTTCTGATGCAGAAAGCTGACTGCTCAAGCAGGAGTTCCTTAAAAATTCAATCCAGGATCCAACAAATGACTACCAAACACGCTTTATTAGTAAGGGGTTTGATAAATTTTAATAATTCATTCGACGCAGTTGTGAACAGCTAAAAATATCCCGATATTGTCGGTCTAAATCTGGTTAAGTGCGTAAGTGTCGTGCTAAGGCCATCATCTCCCAAAACAGACGAAGATTAAGATCGGATATTTATTCGTTCTCACCGAAGCCGATGCCATGAGCCATTTAATATGAGAATGGTAGTCATTCGGTTTTTAGGGTAGGTTAAATAAGAATGATATAACCGTCTTTTAGAAGTAAAATCTAAAGAATAAAATGAAGCCACTAACTTATGTAATTACACCCATGGAGTGAAGAATGCGGCCACGCAGTTTAAAGTAGAGTTGGGCCTCGGGTGACTAGCAGCCCCATCTACGAGACTTTCAGGTAAGGAGCAAGCTAGATGCAGAAAATTTTGTTTTGGTTGACGAGTATTCGCTCAGTTAAGGAGTTATCAGTGCGTGTGTGTGCGCCTGTGTCCGTCCTTAAGTCTTGCTACCAGAGCGTGCGTCTTCGGTCACTTGCAGCCAATCAGTAAACCGGTGCATTTTGATTGGCTGCTTCTCGCAAAACCAACCTTGTACATTACGAGCTGGGTGGCGGAACCGATTAAGCTCATTAACCGAGATTCACTGTCCCGAAGACGTTGAGCTGTTAAAAGGCGGAGAAACGAATACTGAGGGCATTGATTATATTCCAATCAAGCTGCTCCCAGCCTGAGATGAAACAATCACATTGGAGAAGAAAGTGTTAAGAATATATCGTTAAATCTGACTCTCATGCTAGCCGCGGCTGAAGGTCACTACCTTAATAGCTTAGCCCTTAAAGCACGTTTAAAGCCTAAGCGTGCAAGATAAGCTTCGAAGTAAACCGTGTGCCTATCCCTAACTTATAACCTTTAACTCTACCATAACATGCAACCCTTAATCCTAAGTCGGGTGCTAACTCTAATGTTTAAACATGGTGTTAACGTAAGCCTACTCAAATAACTGACGTTGGTATTCCTTAGTAGCAAAGACTAGAGGAGTTCACAAATTCAATCGAATTTCACTGCGCTCTAGGTCATGACTTTGAGCCCTCTTTTAACAGTCAATTTCTATTCGGGTGTACCGGGAGAGCAGATAAAAGTGCTTTAAATCCATTCCGCATAGCATTCATTCCGCCTTAAAGCATACTATATGATACAGTTTGTTGCGGACAAGGATGAACAATCTACTATAACCTCAAATTCCACAAATTTTCCGCCTGTTGGAAGAAGGCATTCAGGTTGGGTGCACAAGGCAGTTTGCTGTGGAGTGACCGTCTGGGAGGGCGTTAGCCGAGATGAGTTGTTTACACGCTTGGATCTGTTCGTGCGGGGGGTGCTTGTCTGGCTGTGAGGCGCCTGATTATTTGTACCAAAGGCTGAGTCTAAGGTCTGATAACAAGATCATCTGGGCGCCAAATAAGCTGGTTAACGCGGCTAGCCCGAAGTGCATGCGCAACCATGACGCAGCTCAGCTCAAGCCTGTTTAGGCTGCCCTGCTTTGGCGATGGTCACTGTCATTTAGCTGGCTTGCCACGGGCATCATGAGGCTAGAGAAGGAGGGCATTAAAACAGCTGCTACGAGTAAAACTATAGTAGAGAAACAGTGGTGAGCTCCAGAAAACACAGAAATATGGAATACCTATCGGAGGGGGGTTAATTAAGTTAAACCCTAGCAACTGCGATCTTCCAGACTATCGTTCCTTATGAGAGGTGAAGTCGGTGGATGCCAGAATAGAAGGAATGGTTTATTCTGTATACAGGGAATTGAAAATAAGCAGGAAGAAGTTTGACCTCGGAGAGCACGTCCTTACGTTGGAGTGGCGTGGTCCGAAGTAACAAGAGCGCCGGGAATCGTGGGAATGTCAGCGCATGCTTCGTTACGGCAACCAATCAAGCTGCTTATGTCTAGACTAGCGTTCCTGACGTGACCTTGAGATGAGCGAAGTCAGGCGTGCACGCGCGATCATGGTGAGGCGTCTGTCAACGACAGTT